GGGAAAAGTTTTAACGGTTCAAGATTAAGGCAGGCTAAAAGAGATAGCAAGTATGCTAAATACTGGACCCTAGATTAGATCACGTAATGGAGAGAAAAAACATATAGACTGCACAGAGGATTATTGGTTCAATGGACAAAGTTGGAATATAGTTGGTAAAGTCGTGTTACTGGTATTACATTTACTGAAGTCAATAACAACACAGTCATTATGTAAGAGACTTTCTTTCTTTGGATACACACGCTAAAATATTTAAGGGAAACTTACTCTCAAATGATTCAGAAAAAAGAAATGAGGTGCAGGTGTGTAGACAGATATGGGGCACAAAAAAGAAGATACTGTGTTAATGAAGCAAATGAGGTAAATCTTATCGTCAAATTCCAGACTCCTATTATTCCAAAATAAATCTTTATCTGTGCCCATTCCAAAGACAGATGATCCAATAAAATGCAGAAATTACCCGCAAATACCATGAATATCACACAAGTAAAATTTTGCTGGAGATCTTTCAAAAATGGTTGCATTGGTGCACCAACAGGAAATTGCCAAATAGTCAAACCGGATTCAGAAGAGAATGTGGAACAAGGAATACAAATGCTGATAGCAGATGGACCTTAGCTGAGAGAAGAGAGTTCCAGAAAGATGTTTACATAAGTTTCATTAATGATGCAAGCACATTCAACTGTGTGGATCACGGGTTCCAACTTATCTGGCCTACTGCCCCCTTTTTAGAAAAATAAAGAAATACTTAGCACTCCCCTGGCAGTTAAAAACTGCTATACCATAGCCCATAATCAAAGATAAAGTATAGGTATCTGCTTTTGCAGCCCTCCTGCACATCCACTGCAGAAGGTTCCAGTGCTCCCAGGGGTTATCACTCATCTTGGGAAACACTTGTGCAGACAGATCAGAACTACCGTATATACTCGTGTATAAACCAAGTTTTTCAGCACATTTTTAATGCAATTTTGTGGTAAAATTAGGTGCCTCGACTGTTATTTGGGTTGGCTTATACTCGAATACATATGGTAATTATCGTGCAGAAAGAGAATTCCAGAGCACATTCATTGTGAGTCCAGAACCTATGCACAGACTAACAAGCAGTTCTCAGACAGAACAAAGAAACACTGTGTTCTACGGCAACGTCTGCCTCAGAGTTCTATCCTTTCATTATACTTATTTACTCTACGCTGAGCAAGTAAGGAGTCTTGGTGGCATTGTTGAGCACATGTTGGGCTGTTAACCACAAAGCCTGCAGTTCAAAACCACCCGCTGCTCCACAGGAGAAAGATGAACATCTGTTCCCATAAAGACTGACAGCCTGGGAAACCCAAAGGGGCAGTTCTAGTCTGTCCTTCAGAATCACTCTGAGTTGACTTGACAGCAGTGAGTTTGAGGTTTTGCTGAGCAAGTCATGCAAGTATATGAAGAACATGGCATCAGGAATCGAGGAAGACTTGTTAACAACCTGTGATATGCAGGTGGTACAATCTTCTTTAATGAAAGCACAAACTGATGAACATCAAAGACTGCAACCTTCAAGATGGATTAACTCAACATAAAGAAAACATTCCCTCCAAATGGACCAATAAACAACCTCATGATCAACAGAGAAAAGACTGAAGTTGGCAAGAATTTAATTTAACATAGCTCCACAATGAGCACCCAATGAAAGCAGCAGTAATTAACATTGTGCTGCACCAGCCTGTGTGATCACGAGGTGTCGAAGGGATCGGCTATCAGGCATCAAAGAACAAAAAATCATATCATTGTGAATGAGGGGGAGTGCGGAGTGGAGACCCAAACCCATCTG